GATTGAATAACATTTGCACACAGGTACAGTAGAAGACAAGGAAAATCACAAGCTAAGCCACAGGGGCCTTTTTTCAGAGGAGACACTTGTGGAAAACTGTTTCTCTCTAGCCAAACCCAAGCTCGAAGCCTAAGAGCAACCCCAACCCTTAATGCAAGTCGAACCCCTCTTCTAGCTATAACCCTTAAGGCAAGATTATCGCATCTCTGACCTTAATGCCGAGACTTACACAGATCCCATCCGTAACCCTAGCGCAACTCTAACCCTGAAGGCACCCCTAACCAAACTATCCAAGCAGTGTTGTAGATGAGTTGTCTGTAAATTCCCCTTAGCGTGTGAACGTGTGCTGCGTGGTTGAGTAGCTCTCAGTTAAGGGTGTCCCCTGCCTTGAATAATGTGCTTCCAGGGATAACCAGTTATGAAGATAAGAGGACAGGATATGAACATACTGATAATAGAATTATTCGTTTGCGCCAACCTAACTCATCATGACACTACAGTTAGAGCTTAGCGACTGTTTTGCTCTGAGTGAGAGCGACGCGAAGGAATGCTGCTTCTCCACTCAGCAGACGGCGTCATGTTGAGCACCGAATTGTGAGGGACCTCGGACGCCTGCTGACAGAAACACCACCACGGCCGCTTAGCGTGTCACGGCCGCTTAGCGTGTCACTGCCGCGTGGGAAACGCGCAATATATGAATGCTTTACATCGGCCCTTCCCACAAGACGTCAACTGTGCTGTATGAGATGCCTCATTCAATCATTCTGTCGATGTGAAAATGATGGCACTTTGGTTCAAAAGCAAATATATTTTATATATCTGTCAGTCAACTGCGGTTGCCGCATTATTTGTAGATTGACGACATGCTCAGTTATATGGTTTTCCCCCCGCCGCCCTGTTATTAAAGCAGTATGGGGCGAACACTTTGGCCTGCACTGGCTCAGATGTGAACACGGCTGGTTGGAACGCAGTGCAAACGCGGAGCGATGAAGCTGGGGAGAGTCTCACTCGAGTGGATGAAAATTAAACTCCACCCATAATCATTTTGGCAGCTCATTAGTGTCACATATGCGATATGAGGCGGATTTTAGGGCAACTCTCATGGGAATAGCCACAAACATAAGAATGGCGTTTAATAAATAATAATGTGTCATTGTGGACTGTTTCAAAGGCCTGAGAGGATGCAGATGGAAATACTGTATTAGTGCTTATGAGTGTATGAGTATGAGTGCTTCTAAAAAAATGAATATTCCTTAACAGAAAACTCAACCCAGAACGATCTTTTCAAAAAACTCAAAACCTATTTTAAACCATTTTATACAGTATTGTAATCACTTTTTAAATAAATTGATAAAATATATGCCTATGAACTTCACCTTTTCTAATAATAAACATGTTTAATAATCACAATGATAATACAATGGTTTAATTTTTCACCCAACTAATTTGAGATCTATTTATAGCAGCTACTCATTTTAATGAATTGTTTCGCAGCTTACATGCCACCCCAAAGCATTCTGCATTTGATAAAGCTTAACTTCTCAAAGTGATTTAGGCAGGAGTGATTCTAGGATTTGACCCTAACCTGGGACTTGAGCCAGTAACCCTCAGGATAACAAGTCTTTGTCGTAACCAGTGTGGGTAAGTAAGTGCCCACACGTGTGAGCAATAAAATAAAATAAAAAACACATTTGAGCTACAGAACACTGAGCGGAAGCATGGTCAGCTGGCAGTAATGGGAACTGTGGTATGCGAGAGTACGGAGACAGCAAGGTGGGGGATAGTGGACACAAGTCTGTGAACAATTAGACCCCTTGTTGGACAGGCCACCATCTTGACGAGCACAGTTGTTTTTATTGTCTTTGTTGAATTAATTGTTCTGTGTGACTTGTGCAAAGCACCCTATAATTCATTAGTTTCCACTCCCGCAGCAGTAGTAGGATAGTCGTACCAATTACAGCATGATGAGCTGAATGGTGTAATTGTTGAATTGCTCGACTGAGTGTCTGTAAGGGTCGGATAGGAAAATCATGTTCACCTATACCAGGGTTGCCGACTTTGGTCAGCTGGTTGGAGTGAGATTTTCAATTTGAGACAAGTCTGCGCTCGCATTTACATGTACGTAACAGTTTTATTACCGTGTAAATAGTCTAGTAGGGATTGCAAACTACCCCAATGCTTTTGATGCAGCTAATATTAGTTTTATAATGGAATAACATAGATTTGTCATAATATTTCTTGCATCTTGCAGTGTGAGAGTCTGAAAGCGTGAGTCTGTGAGAGTTTGGCTGCACTGCTATGCAGTGGTGTACCTCAGATCTATCAGGCCCATTCCGTAGCCATGAGATTATAATAATTATTACACCATCGCCCAATTTAGAAATGTGACCTATGCAAAAAAGCGTGGGTCAATCAAGGATTTGACCCTTGGGGTGGTTTAGCCCCCTGAAAAAATACAGGACAAGACTAGCATCTAGAACTGCCTATGGTGGGGGCCCATATGCAGAGTCTCTATTAGCAATGTTTTATTGACCATACCCACATTTTCATTTTCGTCTGGACTTATTGTATTTTTTTAATTCTGTTGTTTGCAATGACAAACTATGACCCACTGTACTGGGCCTTCAAGGGCAACTGAATAAACAACATGAAACATCACAGCCTGGGTAACATGCAGAAAATCATAAATAATCATTCTGATATTAAAGAATAAGGTGAGCATTAGCTATACCAAACATTACCTTGCTACCAAATGTATTTACAGACATCCCACCTTAGGCCTGTTGATTTTAGGCAGGCAGAGGAGGGACACCCGGGAGGGGAGGGGGGCTTGGGTGGTATTACGGGAATATCGTACAGAAATACAATGTTTCATTTTCATCATACTGCAGCACGAGGTTATTGCCATATAAAGTGTTATTGACAACCCCCTCCCACATGGAATATTTGATTGGGAAATACCAGAATAGCATTGCTTTTTAAAATATCATCAAAATACCATACACCATGGTATAATGTTTGGATGGTACAATAGAATTGCAAATTATATTTTTCTTGCTGGCTAATTTAACCACCGCTGAGTAGCAGAACAACAGATTTCCAGGACATTGTTCATCATTCACGGGGACTGCTGTCAATTTACGAGACATTCCAGGAACCTCTGGGAGAGGTGGGACGTCTGAATTCAATATAGACATTAAGATTAGCCCATCAAAAAGTAATGGGTCAAGTAGCCTGCTCCATTCAACAATAACACCGATTTAATTGTGGTAGGCCGAACAATCCATGTTTTATTAAAAACATACTAAACACCATGAAACACGATATCTCTGAGAATGATTAAACGTAGGCGTACGTCAAAACAGACATCCTGCGTAGCCTTTAGGCTACTGTGACATTGTGACAATTCATTTTCATTCAAGCAGGCTGATGAGAAACCAGAAATAACGGCACAGGTCTCTGCCTAAACACAAACACGTCAATCAGTTGGCGCAAATACCGCCTTATCCAGTTTCCAAAGCAAAATGCTATCATATTGGGGCATGAGGCAATCAGACAAACTGTGCTACCTCCTGGGTAATATACACACAATACGCAGCTCACAACAGGAGAGGGTCAGAGGGCAAGGGTGACAGAGACAAACTGTCCAATTGGCATTGCGTTTGCGGTCAAAGGGGGCACACGTCAGAAAAGCAGGCGTGTCTGAAATAGCACTATGGCCAGGCTGCTAGGATTTATTATTACAGCTTATATTCATGAAATACATGGCGATTTTGCCGGGAAGTAAGATTTTGGGTTGCCTTTTACATACTCGATGATAAAGCAAAAAATAAATGCATCAACCGATCATTCAAAAACGTCCTTTTGACTGCAAGGCTTGAGTGCTTTAATACACTGACAGCATATCGGTAATTCCCGAGTTAACATTGCGCGTAGATCGGCACAGAATTTCATTAAGCTCTCGATTTCTTATCTTTTCTCGATTCTATAACTGTTCTAAACAGACGCAGTTTGCAATCGTGATATATTTGTTTCAGACATTTATAATTTATAAACGTGGTGCCAGTCCACCAGCTTTTTAAAGAGTTTCAAGATGTTTCAGACACGTAAAGGACATTTTTCAATTAATTTTAAACACAATCATATTAGCAGATAACTGTTAATCTCAGAAACATTCTAAAGCTGTTTTCCCCAAAAAATGAATCATTCAGAAATCCTCCATGTACGGCCATTTATTGCCGTGGCACTTTTCCTTGACTTGTCTGGCAAAAAGCCATTAAATTGTGCCTTGTGTTGAATGTGGTACATGTGGCTCTACTTGAAAGCAGCTTCCGGTAGATTTCCCCAGTCTGTAAGCTGCTGTTATAGCCTGTTGTGAAATGCAAAATAGCCGAAAGCGACAGCCAGCATTTTCCATACCTCAGTAGTACAGTATCATCCTCTTTCCTCCTGTTCATTCTGCGCATGTTTAAAATGACCAGTAGGATCAGTGTCCGGATTATGCATGCAGATGCACAAGCACAATCCGTGTTCAGAGAATATGTTCAGTACTTTAACTCCGCTGGGGGGTTGTGGCCCCCACACTTCGTGGCCTCTGCACCCGTATTACGCTGATGCTGTGGATAAATGAGTGTGTATGAAACTCGGGGGAGTCTTCACTGGTGGGGTTGTGTTTTTCCAGTGTCTTGGCCGGTGTGTATAAAAGAAATAAATATCACGCGGCAGATCGTATCATTCCCTTTGTCTAAAAAAGCCACGGAGGGGGAAAGTTTTCCACTCTTTGATGCTATTCGGTGTCTGACATGCAGGAGAGGCCGAACCCAGAAGCAGAGCTGAGATGGCAGACGGGCGACAGCCTCAGTAAGGCTTCTGATCGGCAGGCGAGACCCAGGATTCAGGCCTTGTCAGATAACCCTTCATACTGTAGATCAGTGCTCGCCAACCTTTTTAAAGAAAGTAAAGCTAAAAAAAAAGCAATGTAATTATTGTAGTGATTTAATTGTTTATTTTCAACATTAGCAATAACTAGCAACTTAAAAGTAATGTTACTCATTTCAGCTGATCCATCATTTCAGTTAATCCATCTTCTAATGTCACATGGCAGTGTTTCTCAGACTGGGAATTCAGGGACCCACAGATAGTCCACGTTATTGCTTCCGCCCAGCTCCTGGTAACGAAAATGTGTCGGGCACATAAACCCCACAGTGGAGGTGGGATTCGAACCTGTCCCCCAACCCTGGGGGTGTAAGATGATGGACTATATTTTTAAATTTCTCACTTATTCATGAAGCTGTAGGAACATGCTAGTTCCTTATCTAGGCCACTATGACAATTCAGGTAAAGGAATTGACTGAAATTCTGTTTTACAGAAAATTTATAATCACTGAGTAATACTGTACGTTCACCTGTAAAAGCTAATACCAGAGCCACAAAGTGTTCAGGAGGGTTCAGTCACAGCGGCAAAGTCAGGAGCCCTGCGCATCTGCCCATCCACGCCACCTCAGAAAGGGACCCTCAGCACACATCACACAGACCCTCAAAGGTCTCCGTACTGCAGCCGCAGAACCGGGGCCTAAAAAGGTGGATGTGTGCAAAATGGGGGAAAAAAATCGAGAATGCGAGGCTGGGAGGTGGCATCGAAGCAGACATCTAGAACAAGCCTGAATGAGTTTGTTGAAGTTTAGCGAAACTTTGATATAAAACATCCACACAAGCCGGGGGGGTTGTGCGTCTCAGGGCCTCTGCAGACGTCAAAGACAGCCACTCTACGTTCGGTTGTTTTTCATTCCCTGGAAAAGGCAAAACGATTTGGAGAGGACATCCACAAAAAGCATGTATTTAATGCAGCTCACTTGAGTTTGATTAATAAAATTCACCACGCCCCCCCCCCTCCTGTTTTATATCCACAGATTTAATTAAGTGGACCCCTGGAGTGATTTTTTTTATCTCGTGGAAACAGCCAGACGTGGATGCAGGGAGAATAAATAAATAAATATAAGGGATTAAGGAGAGAGAGAGTTCCTGTGACAGAAATGTAAATCCAGCAGGATGGCCCAGCCCACATGGACAGGCAGGAAGCGGAGGGGAGAGTGTGACAGGTCCTGTGATGTCGCTACGCCGACTGATGTAGCGCATGTGTGCGGGGCCAGAACGCGTGTCAGAAATGTCATTGCCATGCTCGTTATTGGCAGAAATGCCGTAAGGGTGGGAAGCCGGTGGGGGGGGGGGGGTCTCTGCTGATGGGGTTGAGGAGTGTGACATAGCGTCACTTTGGAGTTTCAGTGAGGAAGAGCAGAGTGAATACACAGCATGCTGAGGGAGCCTTGGAGGTGTAGATGCAGAATGGAGTTCGAGGCTAAGAATGGCAAGTGGAATCGGCTGTTGTACTTTTACAGTACCTTCACCAGTCAAGAATCAGTGATTTGAGATCCCAGGGTGGGGAACAGCTGTTGTACCTGATCCTGATGTTCCGTTTTTTTGGAAGAAATGCTTTCATTCTGACATTTCCGTTTACCGCCTGCCAAGGCAGGGAAGAGAGAAGCTGGCGTCACATAAACAGGCGTCACGGCGCCTTGCAGCCCGCGGCGATGCAGCTGAGCTTACCGCCGCTTCCGCAAGCATCTGCTTGTCAGCCTGTCGGCCTGTCCCCCCGCCCCCCGCCCCCCGCGGTCCCCTCGGCTGACTGCCAATTAGGCCACATTTGTCAGAGCAGAGGGGACCCCTGGAATCGCCTCCCTCTCTCCCTCCTTCGCTCCTGCTTCCTCTGTGATAACGAGCCGGGTCTTCGTTTACTCTATGCCATCATCCCTGGGGTTCCCTGGGAGGGGGAAATAGGGGGCAGCATGGGAGGAGATAGAGATGGAGAGAGGGAGAGAGAAGATGAGAAGGCAGAGAGGGTTAGGGGGATGAAAGCAGGGACAGTCGGCAGCAGGGCTTTGCTCACGGTGACGTCCGGCTCATTCTGACCACCTGCCGTGTCCCATGACATCCTACACCCACCCAGGTCTCCTGGAGCAACTCCGTCTCATTAATGCTCACGTCCCGCCTCACACCCTCCAAAAAATACATTAATCCAGAACATCCAGAACAACAAATAACTTGAGAATTTCCAGGGTTAGAATTCACTTAGGGGAAGGTTTGCCCCAGCAGGTACTCAGCGAAAACGAAACAAGATTTTGGCCTTTGTCTACAAAGAAAATAAAAAAAAATATATAGATTTTTTTTCAGGCTCTTGTAAACCTGAGTAGGGCAGAAGAAACCTTTCTCATCTACGGAATAGTTTTGTCTGGGCAGTAAAGCACAGAGGATCAATAGAGTCAGATCTGCTAGTCTCACCACAGGTTACTTATATAACGAACTCCTGCTTTTAAGCGTGAATCTCTCAACTCCCTCAGTGACCTCAGAAGAAACAGAAGACCCTCCCCACTCAGCTTCCAGTGTTTCCAGGGGTCCTAATCAGCACAATCCAAACAAACCATCCATCCATCTCGTGATTGGAGGCGCAGTGACCTCACCAGCGTGAGACACAGGCAGAACAGCACATAGTCCGGGGCGGATCCATAGCCACATACTGTACCCCTTGTTCTCCGTGTGAGGTGAGGGAGGGGTGACCCATGACCTTGAGGTGCAGATCTAACTTCCAAGTCTCCAAATGTATCCCAAAGACCCCAAGTTCAGATCTGCTGCTCTTAATTCAGGAACAAAGACTGGTCAGGGTGGGTCCATGTCTTAAATGTTTGCTTAAAAAAAAAGATGTAGACACCCCAAGGATTTTCAGTGCATAGTAGTAATTCTTGGTAATTACTGGTAAACACAGCATTTATGTGATCTGAATGGGAACCTGCAAGCACTGTTTATAATGGCTGTTAATTTCCAGCTACACAGAAGTAATGGGCACTAAACAGGATAATGACCAACAGGCATGTCGACATCATGTTCCATCTGTTTCTCACATGGAGCTGCCTACTCTCTCAGACCAACCCGTGGAGAGAAGCGGCACGTTTGCGGCTTTAATCAGCCCTTCTCACGTCTCCGTGGAGATCTGATGATGGGCTGCAGGTTGGGGGGGGGGGCATCCGCAAGGCGGGGTGGCTCGCCGGCCCACAGATCCCAGATCAGTGTCAGACGGCGTGTTTTTCCGCAGGCCTAGGAACTCACAGTAATGAACCATCATTAATGTGCCGATGTGCCGATTATTTTTAGATGGG